TGGCATAGAGAAGAGAGAGAACATGGGGGGGGAGGGGGGAGAAAAAAACGAAATAAAATAGAAGTCTTTAAAAATTTTCCTTCCTTCGGCATTCAGCCAGGGGAAGCTTAGTCTTTCAGCTTTGCTGGAAACTGCAAAACTTACCCTTCCTATTTTATGTACATATAGATATACATAAAACGAGAGTGCAACGAAAACTACAGGAAAAGACCAAAGGCGAAAGACATTACTGACGAGCGTTAACTATACAACAGTCGAAAATTTTCTCTTGGCATTTCATCCTACCCTCTTACCCTTTCTCACTAGCTTTATGACATTATTTTCCTCGCGCTCCAAACTTCTCGATTACTTTTATTAGAATGCAGCTCTAAGGATTAACGTGCTGTAGAAGGAAAATAGCAGAAAGGAGAAATGATGGTAGACAAAAAAAAAAACAAAAAGGAATAGGGAAACCAGGAAAGCTTGTTTGTGAAACGACGACTTTGTGTCAAAGTTGTGAGAAGGTTTTTTCAAATCTTTGCTGATGGTTTTAAATTTTTTAAAATTTCTCCGTTAAATTTAAATGAGTTAATTAATGACTGTTTTTTATGCTCAAATCTGGGTAGATTAAAGTGTAACAATAAAATTATACGGTTTTTTTCTAACATAAATAGATGTTCTTAATTTAGGTAAATCTACAGATCTCCATCTTGTGTTGGGAGTATAATTAAAATAATTCATTTGTGTGGAACATACTTGACTCTTCACCAGCAACATATAATAAATACAAAAGAACCTGCAGAGAATAAAAACGAACAAAGTCAAGAATGAAGATCTAAAGAAGATACTTGAGCGTCTTCTTAGCTCGAAATGAAGAGCAAAACTCGGAAGCAAGTCAAGCAGCAAAAAATAATTTATAAAAAAAGATAATATAAAGAGAAGAAGCTAAGTAGACTAACACCTGGGGTCTCAAATCTTTTAGTTATCTTTTTATACACTTAATTTTACAACTTTCATATATTATTTCGTACCCGAGTAAAATTAAATAGACCCGAAAGAGGCCCAAAGCACATCTAAAATTTAAAAAAAAACCCAATTCAGACCAGATTGAAGCTTAATTTTAATTCAAAAATATTTTCAGTGCCCAAAACAGGCCCAATACACACCTAAATTACACTCCAAAAAATTTTTCAGGCTCACAACAAGCTTATTTCAATGTTAATTTTTTTTTAAGTTTTAAAAATATTTTTGAGCTTTCATTGGGTCTCTTATGAGCCTAGAAAACAATTTTGAGCATAAATTGGACCTTTTATGAGCTTAATAAATTATTTTGAGCTTCGATTGGGCCGTTTATGAGCCTAGAAATTACTCTTAAGATTGAATTAGGCCTCCTGTAGGTCTAGAAAACAATTTTGAGCATAAATTGGGCCCTTTATCGGTCAAAAAAATACTCTTGAGCTTTAATTGGGCCTTTTATGAGTCTAAAAAATTCTTTTGAGCTTCAATTGGGTCTTTTATGAACCTAAAAATTACTCTTTGAATTGAGTTAGGCCTCTTTTGGGCCTAGAAAAGAATTTTAAGCATGAATTTGGTCCTGTATTGGTCTTGAAAATATTTTTGAACTTGAATTGGGCCTCATTCAGGCACGCTCTAAATTGATCATCATTATATGTATGCATATAAAAATCTTACACACAGTTATATATTCAAATATACACGTGAGATAAAATTGTATCTACGCTGACAATAATTAATCATATTTACCACCGCAACCTTTATGCGCGTATATAATGATCCTTATGAATAATGCACAGTGATTCGCGGTCGTTCAATTTATGCCACGCGTTGAAGAAAACCAAGAAGAACACGGAGAAGAAGGGAAAATAATACGATAAAAAAAATTTTCTAGAAAAAGACTAAAGAGAGTAAAGGAAATCGAATGAAGAATGGAAGAAGACGCGCATCTCGATTCTTTTTAAAGCATCGATCTCACTAGTGTGACCGGCTGGAAGGTCTTTTGGAAGCGATCCATCATGTTAAAGGGTAAGCAATCAGGCGAAAGTCATCCTGTCCTCGATCTGACGTGCTTGGAGTCGACGAGTTACGAGTCAATTTCTAGGACACAGTTAAAAGACGAGATGAGTCGTACAGGAGTGTCACAAATGATCGAACGACCCTGATACGAGCCAACTTCCACTTCTTACGTGTCTAAATATTTTCTTATCGATAAAAAATATATGCTTTTTTAAACGTAGAGTAATTGAAACTTTTGTAGTTGTCTTTTTGCTGGCATGATACTTTTGAAGAATTAATAATTCATGTGATTTATGTTTTACTATCAACTTTTAATCTTTTTTATTCTTCTGCTGTTTAATAGAAAAAAAAGTCGGTGTTATTACAGAAATATTTATTTCATGACAAATATTACTATTTCTCGAATTAATAGAAGAAATTAGAGGACATGAATAAAATTTAATGAATACTAATTGGTCACGTGCGAGTCATTATTTGTACACCAAGAGTTTCCAAACCTTTATTAAACAATTCTGTCACAGAAAAAGTAATGAAGGAAGAACTTTTTACAAAAAATTATAAATATTTAATTTAAGCATATTTTACAATAAATTATAAAAATATGTCTTATGAAGTTATCTGTTTTAAATTAATTATCATTCAAATTAGAAAAGAGAAAAGAAAAGTTAAAATGAATATTATTTTAATGAGTATTTAATGAATTTTACTATTGTTGATGGATATCTAGAGAAATTGCATAAAGTTGCTTTTGATAATGAATTAATATTCATGAATTTAAACCTTAGCGAAACAACCAACACCCTAAACCCTTTGATCGGCATTTAATCATCGTGTCCACAGTTTTTTGAATTTGATAGGAAGGCCTTTCAGTCACAGTTGATTGGCACAGTCGTAGGCTTTGTTTAACGTCCCACAATGTTAAGCGACGCATCGTGAAACATTGAAAACGGACAAAAAATCAAATACGAAAAGCATAGAAAAAAAAGAAATGGAAAAAAATAAATAAATGAATGAAACAATGGACACGCACGGATTCCGGTTGCAGGGATGAATGATTCCCAATTGTGCCAAGTGGCTCTTAAAATGCTTAGTGAAGCTAACAGCCAATAAAATAGCACTATTTGTATTGAAAATTTTCTATTTTTCATCATAAATGAAATACTCATTTTTGCATGCGAATAAATCTTTGACAATTCAACTGATAATATGCAAAATAAAATTAATATCAAATAAATATTATACAAAAAATTAATTATATCATTTAGAGCACAACTAATTGACGTATAAAAAAACGGTAATATGACTGACATTTAAAAAAATCAATATTATATGCAAGATCAAGCACAGTTTTTTTTATATATAATATTATAAAATATAAACTAAATGTAAAACCAATTAAAATGTTTATTAAAGATGAATAAATTATGAAAGGTTCAGAAAGATCTCTGGTCAGGACTAGACTCAGTCAAATACTAAACATAAACAAATCGGTCAAGCGTTAAGCAATTGCTCATAATAAAATCAGTCGTTTGTCAATTAATACATAGATGGAGATATGTACAGAGTAATTCAGGACCTTTAAAGTTAGGCAGTATTGGCCAGGAGCTCGTGTCTTCTCCTTCTTATCCTCAATAAAAAAAAAACCTTTAAAGTTTTAGAAAATTTCTGACTATTTTCTGATCATTTCAAAAAAGTCAGAGGCGAAAGTATCTTCGTGCTTGCTTTTATTCATTTCGAATTAAAAAAATTTTATCCCGGAAATTGCCACCACGTGACGTTAGTTATTTTATTTTATTGTTGGAGAAATTAGCCTAAGGATATTTATTTCCTATGTATGTATTTCAGTATGTCCTAACAGACTGAAAGACACTCATGAACTAATTTCAATGGTACTCAATCTACATAATAATCTTTCAAATCAGTCCTAAATATTATCTTCAAGAAATAATAATATTAACATTTATGAGAGTATTATAAACTTAGTCTAAGACGTAGTTCCATCATTATTAAAACACTTCCATATCATACATATAAAACTGTGGGAATATTTATTGTGATGTATTATAAACTAAAGTAATGATTGAATTTTGTTATAAACTCCAACAATTATTTTATAATACACAGTGACTCTTCTTCAACAAATGCAGTCTCCCCTCTCTGGCCAAGTTTTACTTATTATCTACAGCTTCTGATTGGCCTTTTTCAGAGATTAGCAACTTTTCTTTCTTTGTAATGTTCGTAAAATTCGTTCTGTTCCAAATTCACTCTAGTGTCGGCATGTAAATACTTTAAAAGTAATCCTCTTGGAGTATGAACGAAATTCTCCATTACTTTATTTTATATAATAATTAGGTTACTTATTTTTTACTTTATATGTAAACCACATGACACATGTCTACGTTGATAATAAATATACGTCTTAGGCTTTTATTATTCTTCCTAGAATAAGTATATTGTTTATTTAATAGCATTTAGGACTGATCTGAACTTGATGATGAAAAATCAACATTTTTACATAAATTTTTTTTTAATTTGTTTGTTTTTTTTTGTAGATTATGAAAAAAAATATAACAACTCCATACGATCACTTGTAAAAAAGTTATCAACAGTAATACGTGAATGAGTGCATTTACATGAACATTTGAAGCCCTGAAACCAATATAACTTTGTATTTTTATCCATTTCCATAATTTTTTTCATAAATCCGCCGTAAAAACGAAGATTTTAGGAAAAAAATCACTCCAAAATGTTGATTTTTCGATTTCCTAGAGCCAAATAACAAGAGGACCGCGATAGTATACAATTACCTTTAAATCTTTATAATAATAAAAAAAATATATGATCATTGAAATTGTTTAATTATTTATCAAACTAATTCCTGCTACAAGAATTTCCAATAAATCCTGAATCACTTGGTATTTATTTTACAATATCATGTCATGTCAATAAGCATCAGTTAGAATTATTCCAAGATGTTGAATACTCACCACTTTGTCACCCAGGTTCCTCACTTTGCAAGGTAGGTAAACTGTCTGTCCAACAAATGCTGTGACATTGGTGACTGTTTGCTCGAAAACTGGCATATCCTCTTGAAGATCGTTTGGATCTTCTACTGGAGCTGTAGAAAAAAAAAAGAAGATGCATTAAATTTTTCAATATTATTCTTGTGTTGTGTATTTGATAATGATGGTAATTTTTTCCAAGACTTCTGTAATTGAATAACGGAATAATTGATGATGTACGGAGTTGTAACGTTGGACGCTGATTATCGCATAAACAATGTCTACAGTAAACACAACTCATGTCATCCGCCTTTGCAAAGTGAACATGCTACGTCATGGTTGCACTCGGCGTGCAGATAACGTGTTACACCCACTTTAGAGCACCAATTCAATGCCATTCTCATCCACTCTACTACCTCTCATCCTCCCTCGAATATTTCTTCAATAATGCACAATATTTATTCTACTAAATTCCTTCACTCCGCAAAATATTTCAGATAATGACGAGATTTTTGAGTCTTCAGCTTTTAAAAAATAAAAATAAAATAATTATTTACAAATATTAATACGTAAATGTATTTAAATAAAATAAATTTAATGCTGAATTTTTATTTTTAAAAAATAATAAATTTATTTAATGAATAATTAAATCAAAAGATAAAATTAAAAAAGACTAATGGATATTTAAAGATTTCATAATGCATTCATTATATAAATTGTTATGATTACATCATCATTAATAAGTCCTTGCATAATTATCAAAAGGAGTAATCTAAGTTATTGTTCAGGTTTTCTTATCAATTGAGGAATTGTCAATTACATTGAATACTTTTATGGAACTAAAAATATACTGCGCGCTTTTCGAGCGCACTGTCTCAAGTCAACAACATATAAAATTATTTAATTTTTATTTTTATTCATTTCGAAAATTTAAAAATAAAACTGACCAATCAGTGCACGAATAAAATGGTTACGTTTTTCTGATTGGTCAATTTTATTTTGTATTCTTTAATTATTATTTTTTAGTATTTGTTACGGTAATTAAAATTTTTTTTTATTATTATCATTATTGAATTGTAATCTCCGTGATTTTATAACAAAAAATATTATAAATATTTAATTATATTCACACGAACGGTTTTTGTAATTGTATCTCTTTGTCGGACAGTAAGTCATGAGTTTTAATAGATAGGAGAAAGAAAAAAAGGAGGAGGATATAAAGATTAATTTATTTAACAATAAATTTAAAAAAAATTCTTTGGATTTATTTCAATATTAATAAGTGCAGTAAAGGATTTTATCTAAAATTACTACGATATTATGATACCAATGAAATTGACAAACTTTATTACATAAAAACAAGACTAAAAATTTTTGGCAACTCTATTCAAAGCTCGTAATAACAGTAATACACAATAAAAATTATTAAACTCATACTCATAATAAAAATTACTGAAAAAATATCTTTATAGTATGATTCATAAATAAAATCCCTCTTTTTTTTTTATAAACTGAAAGTACTTTTTCCATAAATTAATTGAATTTAAAATTAACAATATTATTATGATAAAAGTAAAAATAAACTCCAAATGTTCAATAAATCTTTTTTGGCAATAAAACTTTTTAGAAATGAATAAAAAAGTCATATTCTATATAACATAATTTTATTCTACGATCAATCAAACTCAGTAGTATTTAAATATTTATCATCTCGTGAACTTTAAACAACGTTACTCTTCATTGAAAATTAAAAAAGGGAATATTTGAATATTAAATTTGCTAGTGTATACGATAATAAATTCCAGTTCGGTTAACAAGTAACGAGCCGTATAGCACCAGTAGTTCCATCTTAATCTCAAGCCTGAGACCATCACTTCCTCTCTCTCATAAATTTCATTCTTTTTTCAATGTTTTTTAATCTTCAATGAGGAATTTCATAGACTTCCAGAAAGTATAAAAATCCTAGGGGAAGTCACCAGGAGTCTTTTTTTCTTTTGATAATTTAATTAAAAATTTTATTAATAAATATAAATAAAAAAAAGACTTAAGGAGATTCGAGTGATTAAAGGAATTTCTATAAAAAATTTTTCATTGTTTCTCAATAAATGAAAAGAAGTTATAATAAATATTTATGAAGTGGAATAAGGTAATTAATAAAGAGAAATAAAGATTCACAAAATCAAGTCGTTAATCTCAAATTTTGTGCTAGATTCGCGACAATTCTGTGGTCGACTACCCGATCCCTTCAACCCCTTTTCGAGGTACTTCCTCTTCAAAACAATGAGTAGGACGAAACTTTACTGCCTGCTCACGGTTGAGAGACCGAGAATCATATATTTTAACCTCAGTGGTCATAAAGTGTGGTTGAACTATGACTCAGTTGTATATTATACAGAAACTGGACAAGTTTCTCGGCAGATTTGTTAGTCGCCTGGTAAGCGACATACTTTCCCATACGCGTTTTATTGATATGTGTCCAAAGAAAATCGATGGTACAAAAAGCATTATGAATACGAATGTTATCTCTTTATACAGGGTGACAAATGTGAAGTTGCCTAGAGTATATACATCTTTTTTCCCCTTTACTGTATCGTGTAAGGCTGAGCTTATTTAGGGACATTCTAGAATGTTGTCAGCTTCTATTGAGATGCAATAAAGAACAATACGTATACTTTAAAATGAGTGGTTTTACGAACGAACAAAAAGTGTATCTTATCAAGTGCCTTTATTCTAAAGGCAATAAAACTACCCGTATAAAAAAATTTCGTTCCCCAGTGGGGAAGTTCCCCGACGTTCTCTTTGTGAGACTATGGGGTACGTTTGGGGAACAAAATTTTTTTTTTCTCTGCTGCAGTATAACTTAGTTTTTTGCTAATAACTCAAGATCTATGAGGCTTATATAGAGAATGAGCGTATCAATGGATTTGTGAGAATGAGATCTTTTTATTGCACTGGTTAAAATTATAATTGGAGGATGATTGAAGCTAAAATTAAAGCAAGTTCCCGATTTACCCCATTTTAAGAGTGAAGTAATTAATTTTTCGAATATCTGATTCCGCATTTCTAGGCATTGAGACGAAGAGAATGAGTGGTCAAACTTGAAAATCGGACAACTTTTATTTTTCAACCCCCAAAAATGGCAAGGTACCCCTTTCCATTTTTTTCAGCTAAAAAAAAAAAGTACTCCGATTTTGATGATCAAGGGCTCATTCTCTTTGTCTCGATGCATAGAAATGCGAAATCGGGGTACAGCCCCGAAAAATTCACTTTAACACCCTTAAAAACGGATAAAACTGGATAAACATTAAAAATCATCATCCCCTTGACTTTAAACCCTTATAAGTCATGAACGAACAGTCCAATAACTGTTTTTAGGGACGTTTTAAAAACCTCAGAATTTAAGCTAAACATGCATATCTATTAAAAATGTTTACAAAAATTCTTTTACGCATAAAATCGCTAAAATATAAAAAAAATCACATTTTTTTGGGAGTTTGCCAACTATTTTGGTCATTTTGAGGGTGAAATAAATTTTTTTGAAGTTTTTCATGGATATAGATCTTTAGCTTAGATTCTGAAGTTTCCAAAAACCTCCTTACGATCATTATTAGATTACTCATATGAGAGTTTTAGAGATCCAAATTCGATGCAAGGGTCAAAAAATCATCTACTCTTCGATCAGGGTATACTGAAGCGTATAAAGATCTTTATACTAAGTTCGGAAGTAAAAGAGTAGCCAGTCAAAATACTTTTAAAAGGTGAAAATAAAAAAAAAAATTTTCGTCATACCCGTGCGGAAAGTTCACTTTTCCATTATAGAGTGATTGAACTTTCCACGCGGGTGTGACGAAAAATCATATTCAAACCACGTGTTTACCAACCTTACCTTTAGCTCGGGTTGTAATTTTACACGTGGTTTGAGTTATACTATTTTTCCACCCTAGGTGTGAAATGTTCTAATAACTTCATCCTATGACCTCATTTTTAATAAAATTTTTGAATTTTTTTTTTGAACGTTTGATTAAACTGGAACCTATCTTGAATAAAAATGACTACTTCACTGATTTTTTATCTATTTTTTTGTTTTTTTTTTCTTTTCACTCATCTCTAAATTATAAGTGATTACTTTAAGCAACTTCCCATTTGTCACCCTGTACCACGCAAAAAAAGCACATTAAAAAAGAATGAACAATACTGAAATAATAAAGATATTTTTTCTACAAATCTAGTTATTTTACTTGCTTACATTATTACATATTCCCGTGTATATACTTTATATGTCGCTTTACAATAAGAAAATCCAAATATCTCTTTTATAGCGACGTTATCGTGAAGTGCTCGAAAAGAAGTTGAGAAAATAAAATAAAAATCATAGTCTTTCGGTTGGGATATATCCGGAAAAGAAAATACATGTGTTGAAAATATATGCTCAGGTCTCGAAAGAAGTAAAGAATTTCTGTATACATATAAAAGAGTAGGTATATGAGTTCAGTAAAGATAAAAAAGCAAAATAAGTAATACAGAGTCACTCTTGCCTTAGAAATAGTTTTTCGTTATAGCTATCATTATCCTCTCTTTACTCAATTCGCATTGTTGTTGCCTTCGTGATCCATGGAAGATAAACAAAATTTTAAATCAACAGCTCCAACATGCCCCAGGTTATAACACAGTTTATGTGATGAAATAGTTTGGAACAAAAAAAAAACAAGTTCGTTCGATAAACTGGCGAATAGTAACAATAAAATTATCACAGCAGGTAGGGAAAAAGGGCACTGATAAATTACTTAAGATTACAAAACTATTTATTGGGAACTAAAAATAGTTTATTTAAACATAGATAATTAAATTGAGAAAATTATTTAGTAGATTTGACGATCGAAATTAAAGTAAATTTTATTTACTTTTGAAATCTAGTAGTCCAGTTAAGTTAGACCTGAAATGGCAATTTTTCAACCTCGATCAAACTTGGCTGGAATATTCCTAGGCATGCTAGATTTAAGTAGGGATAGTTTTTAGGGGGTTGCGAACCCAGCGTCAGGGTGAAAAAAGGATAAAATTGCTCCAAAAGCTATTTTTTAACGTTTTTAGCGAAAACTATAATAGATATTTAAAAATG